CCTGTGATCGTTAGCATCGCCGTTAGTTTCTCGTTGAATGCCTTCGAGTTAGCATCGCAACGATGGATTTCGTGATCGAGATCGAGTACTTCAAAGACTCCGAGGGGCGTCTGGCTCCGAAGGAGATCGGCGTTGTGGCTGTGGACAGAAGATACATAGGCCACTGGATTGTTTCACCGCCGTGCGATTTCAATGAATTACCATCGGCGATCAGAAGCGAGAGCAACACCATGACCCGCTATCAACACGGTCTAGAGTGGTTCGACGATGGTGTAACGTACAAACAGTTATACACCAATCTCCGAAATATTGCCGGTATTTCGCGGAACATATACACGCGAGGTCCGAAGAGCGTACTTTTTCTGCAGACCGTTATAGCAAGGGAAGTTATAAATTTGGATGAAACTCCCGATAACTCACCATACGAGGACTTCCCACCGAATCGTGACCATTACGAGTGTATCGTTCACGCCGGTAAGAAGACACGGGGATCGTTTACCTGCGCTCTGAACAACGCATTGCGTCTTGAATTCTGGCTTCGGAATTACGGACCGCATATATGAACACGCTAGACCTTTACCTCGGCCTTTGCGGTATATCGGAGCATACGACGGGTGTCTACGCAGCTGATAGAATACCGAGAAACTGGTCGAAACCCGCTGCCATTATAGCCAATACGGACGATCATACGAAGCCAGGAGCACATTGGGTTGCAATGTACGTGGACGCTGGCGGAGACGGCTACTACTTTGACAGCTACGGATTACCACCGCTGAATCATCACCACGCATCGAGACTCCGACGGAACTGTCGATCCTTCCAATGGAACGCTCAGCAGCTCTTGTGGCTGTGGACAGAAGATACATAGGCCACTGGATTGTTTCACCGCCGTGCGATTTCAATGAATTACCATCGGCGATCAGAAGCGAGAGCAACACCATGACCCGCTATCAACACGGTCTAGAGTGGTTCGACGATGGTGTAACGTACAAACAGTTATACACCAATCTCCGAAATATTGCCGGTATTTCGCGGAACATATACACGCGAGGTCCGAAGAGCGTACTTTTTCTGCAGACCGTTATAGCAAGGGAAGTTATAAATTTGGATGAAACTCCCGATAACTCACCATACGAGGACTTCCCACCGAATCGTGACCATTACGAGTGTATCGTTCACGCCGGTAAGAAGACACGGGGATCGTTTACCTGCGCTCTGAACAACGCATTGCGTCTTGAATTCTGGCTTCGGAATTACGGACCGCATATATGAACACGCTAGACCTTTACCTCGGCCTTTGCGGTATATCGGAGCATACGACGGGTGTCTACGCAGCTGATAGAATACCGAGAAACTGGTCGAAACCCGCTGCCATTATAGCCAATACGGACGATCATACGAAGCCAGGAGCACATTGGGTTGCAATGTACGTGGACGCTGGCGGAGACGGCTACTACTTTGACAGCTACGGATTACCACCGCTGAATCATCACCACGCATCGAGACTCCGACGGAACTGTCGATCCTTCCAATGGAACGCTCAGCAGCTCCAGAGCGAGACGTCAACGGTGTGCGGCCAATTCTGCATGATGTTTTTACACTACCTCTCCTCAGGCTTCGGGATGCATGCCTTCCAGAATGTGTTTAGTAGTGATTTGCGGAAAAACGATAGAATCGCCCGAAAGTACTACGACGCTTTTGTGCGAAAGAAGCGTTTGGCGGATCATCGGTATGCGCAGGATAATAAGATCTACGGTGGCGGTAGTAGGGTGCAATATTCGCGGTGTAAATCAGGCTACATATGTTAAGACCTGTTCCATGAAAGCCGAGTGGGTTGTACATTTAATTACATAAATTGAGGCTATAGTAGGTGTATAAGTAGCAAATAAGTTTAATAATAATAATAATAATAAGTATAATGATAAAATTAAAATAGGAATAATATATATAGCGTAAATAATACTAAGCTAGATTAGATATATAAGTAATGTAAGCAATTAATAATATGTGTTTAAGAAAAAAATATATATATACAATACAAGTCTATACTACTATTATTTAGGTAATGAGGGTGACCTGCCCGTACCCAAATCACACCAGGGTGTCTCTATTGGCCTCATAAAAGAGGACACTTGTACAGCTACTGTTTCTTACAATATACGACATATATTTAAAAATACCTATTTTTTCTGTTTTTGTTTCCTTCGCCTCCATCTCCCCATATCTTGTTAATAATGGTAACGGGCGGTAGGAAATAAAACATTAAGCGTATTCCTCTATACAGAGCTCAGGCTAATCATCGAAAATGTATCACACCAGACAGCTTTATAATATATGTAGCGTTTCTTACAAAAAAACACTGTGTTCTACTTCACCATGGGACACTTACCTCCTTAGGATAACTAAAAATTACCGACCGGCGGTCACTGCATAATTACCGACCGTGATACGGCCCCTGGAGACGATGCAACGCTGCTGCGCGGGGTTTCGGGCCTTAGGACCGCGTGGTGGGGGGGTCCACAACTGTGTCGCAGGGGGAGGGGAGAGCTGGTCACATAGATGAGGGGGTGGCGCCATAGTGCAGCGCGGGGGGCACAGCGCGATGCGCTCTATGACTCATAGGAACAGTGGTGGGGGTTTGTTATGACTCCCATAAGTGGTGTGTATCTACTTGTGTGTTTTGTATTATCTCCTGCTTAATATAATACTTAATACTTAATTACCTGCCTCGCCGGCCACAAATTGGTGACCCCGACGTGATAGTGGAAGTTACCACTGAAGCTGAATCATCTGAAAAAGATAAGACGCATTTAAGATGGCCGAAGCCGCGCAAAATCCAGAGCTACAACAACATGTTGCACAACAAAGTGAAGGAGATGTACAACAGGAGATCCTGGCTTGCCAAACCACTAGACCGCCTCCTTTCAACAAAAATAATCTTAGGGCTAGCACTCATGGAAATGGAATTTGAGGAAGAACGGATCACCAGCGATCGAACCAAGTTTAGGCGCATAGCGCTGGCACTAGACGCACAAGTGGTCGAGCAAGTCTCAGACCTGATAACCGATCCTCCAGAGAACGACAGGTATTCGATTTTAAAGAACCGACTACTTGCTATTTTTGGTGAGTCCGAACGTGCTAGATGGCATAAACTTCAAGAACTAGAATTAGGAGATCAGAAACCGTCAATGCTTCTGAACTCCATGAGGCGACTCGCAGGAGACCAGCTTGGAAATGATGCACTGCAGAATATGTTTCTGGATAGAATGCCAGATTACATTAGAATCCTCCTGTCCGCTGAACCAGATACAAAGTTGGATAAACTCGCAGGTCGAGCGGATCACATGATGGATGCTGCAAGAATGCAGGTAGCACTCATCTCAACGGAGGCCACTTTTAAGGAACACATTGAAGCTTTCAACAGAAGACCGCAGCGCGTTGTCAACACACGAGCAAACTGGCAATCTGCGCCTTCAAATAAAGGCAAGTGCAATGATCGTTCAGGTTATGTCTGCTTCTATCACCGTAGGTTTGGATACAAAGCCCGCAACTGTGAGGGCAACTGCGCTTTCAAACAAAGACAGCCAGTCGCAATAAGAGCACTAAGTGATGGTTCTACATCCAATCGCCTCACCATCAGTGACAAGATCAATCGGTTATGCTTCCTAATCGACACCGGAGCAGAAATCTCAGTCCTGCCAAAAAAGTACTGCAAGGGATTCAGCAAAGAAACAAACTACAAGCTGCATGCGGCTAACGGCACACCTATCAAGACGTTTGGCAGCAGAGTTCTGACCCTTGAGCTAGGACTACAGAAACCTTACCTTTGGGAGTTCTGCGTGGCTGATGTGGAGCAACCCAGCATTGGGGCAGATTTTCTAGAAAGCCACAATCTTACAGTAGACCTCAATAACCGACGCCTGATGAACATGGTCTCACTTCACCAAGCAACTGGGAAAGTAGCTCAACAATCTACACACATAGCTGCTATTCGCAAAAACAATCAAATACACCGACTCTCGGCTCAGTCTCCAGAGATTACAACTCAAAGGAAAGCGTATGTCCGAGGCAAGCAATAAGTCGTACAGCACATTGCAACGACGGATCCATCCGTGGCTCAACGACACCGGAGGCTGGATCCCGAGAAATTGAAAGTAACAAAGGCCGAATCCAACCTCATAACGGAACAGGGTATCTGTCGTCCATCAAAAGACCACTATGCAAGTCCCCTTCACATGGAGCCCGCAGAGGAGCAACGCAAGGATAAAGAGCTGCAACACGTTCTAAATTCGGAAACACCACTGCAGTTACGACCTCTACGCATTGAGGGCTCAGAAGAGACGGTTTACTGTGACATTTCCACAGGCACAGCTCGTCCTTACATTCCGAAAGCTTTACGTCAACGTGTTTTCGACATGTGGCACAACATGTCGCATCCGAGCGGCAAAGCCACGAGCTTACTCGTGAGACAGCGATTTGTTTGGCCTAACATTAAGAGGGACATTCTAGCTCGCACGAGAACATACCTGCCTTGCCAGCGAAATAAGACGACACCACCTCCAGTAGGACGACCAGCCAATCCACGTACTTACCTAAAGAAAAAATCGCGTCGACCCAAGGTACGTCGCTGGAGGGGGAGCAGTGTGGCGACCAACCAGGCAGCAGCCAATCGGATTCAAGGACTCCCACAGCGGTGGCGCCCTCCGGATCAGGCACTTCGAGAATCGTCCAGTCGTCTCGAATCTAGAGCACCAGCATGTCCACCTTTCTATAACACGTTAAATAATTAATAAAGATAGTGTGTGTTTTGTATTATCTCCTGCAATACTTAATTACCTGCCTCGCCGGCCACATTGGGATTTTCGGGGCGCCATCTACCCGCCGGTATTGGAACTAAAATTTTACTATAGTATATGCTTAACATACCCCCATCACGTCCTCCGCACCTCTATACCTATCTACACTTAACGATTCAACTCAGCGTGAGGGGACCTACAAAGTTTATACACCGAATCCGAACAGTGTTGGGCGAAATCCGTATGAATACTCACTTAAGTTTTCATATGAAAACCCATTGGTGAATGCCGCTGGAAGCTGGTCGCGAACCTCCAACCTTCCGGTCGTGAATCCGCTACCCTATCCACTGGGCTACGGCCGCCCTTCACATGGAGACTAGAGTAGAGGAGTCCCATCTCAGTACATAAGGTATGACACCGAAAAGCTGTTAAAATTGAGGATGCCCGAAACGACACTTGCGGCGCTGACTCCGCTAGTGAAACCGTTGAGTGTTGATAGGTATAGAGGTGCGGAGGACGTGGTGGGAATATGTCAAGCATATACTATAGTAAAATTTTAGTTCCAGTCCCGGTCGGTAGATGGCGCCCCGAAAATCCCAAGTGTAACGCTCCGAGCGCCTAATTCTGCGGGATACTTGAAAATCCCACTCGATGTTCCTTGCTGCTGGGTTCCGTTGGTAAAGAGTAGAAACTCACTTTGCGAATTTAGAAGGATATTTACGAAATAAAAGTGAATATTAGGATACAAACGTATATATATATCAACTGCGATCTGCTCTGATCGAAGGTCGATACACAAGACTTTATTTCCAACTCAAAAATCTTGGGACTCACCCCCGGAATCTTTATAAAGATCCTCCTACCAATATAGTTTTAGCCAATCAAGTGCGAGTTCAGAAGGAACAAGGGAAGAAGACTGTGTGCTTATACTAGCCGTTTCTGACGGTCGATTCTACGAAGAAAGGGCCAACCGTCTCCATTTCAATCATTGGCACTTGACTTGCTGGCATTAAACACTCTTAACGTAAATCAAAAGCTTTAAATAAACATAACTAGGCTAGACGCCTTTTAAATAACAGAGGGAATACAGTTCTGATATTCATAACTAAAAGAACGTCTAATATAAGGTTTATAATATAATTTCTTAAATAATTACAACGTCACCACTTGCATGTATCGATTCTCTCAGAGTTATCCTTTGATAACTGAATCCCTTAATCAAGAGACTCGGTGGAGTCTCGCGCCAAGTACAGGCAACCGGCTGTACAGGGCACAGCTCGCCGAGACTCTTTACTTGAGTCAACTCTTATACCTGTGTTTGGAACGAAATATCTTATTAACCGCTATACATGAGAAAAAGTTATTGATACATTCACTATAGGAATTGAGGGTCCTGAATTGATTGCCACCACGTTCAATACGATTAGTATACGAGATCAGGGCGTATTGAGATGGCGAGCGAGATGATTTTATTTCAGTTCCGTCGTCGTCGTCTTCGCACGTCCATCGCATTTTTTACACGACAGATGGCGCTGACTGCTTTGCCTTCTTTACCTATTTGTACTCTGTTTGGTGTTAGTAATTAGTTAGTATAAGGGTGCTTTCACAACAGTATAGAATTATTCAGTTTTTAATAGCATTCATGTGGAGCGCGCGGATATGGGTGTATGTATATGTGTTCTTCGGCATAGTTCTCGTATTTTAGGTGACAGTTTTTCCAGGTGTTCCGCTCCGCAGTTTCCTGCTTCTAGATGGCGGACGTGGAAGTCCAGGGTGTCCAGGTGTTCCGCTCCGTAGTTTCTTGTATCTAGGTGTCAGACGTAGAAGTCCACAAAAGTGTGCAACAAGATTTGGCGCTTCGCTCAAACTACAGTATCTTCTCTGATGTTCGCACGACCTGAGATACGTAAATAATCCAGAACACTCTCCTCTCTTACGTTTACCACACAGCTTCAACAAGCTGGATACCATTAACGACGCTTATATGCATTGAAGATTACATTTTCTTTAAAAATTTGTATATGTCTTGTGACGTACGCCGGCCAACGGCGTAGCCGACAAATAATTTACGGCCACTCCCAAC